ACTGAGCCACCCAGGCGCCCTTGGCTATTGCTCTTAACACTTCATGGAAAATGGAATCTGAGAGAAGGAAGAGGAGGAAAAGAAAGGGAGGGAAGAGGGGGCAGCTGGGAGATGGGGACCGGGAGCCAGAGAGGTCTCATCTGGGATGACGTTCACATACTCTGGAGTGAAATGAAAGTTGTACGTCAAGACCTGAGTGAGGGATTGGCCCCTCCAGTCCCTTCTGAGGAGCGTTCTCCAGGGCAGTGGGTCTGCCTTTGGTTTCCATATCCATGGAGACCCAGTCAGAAGGGGGGCCAGCCCCTGGAAAGGAGGGAGGTGGCAGAAGCTAGACACGGTGGAGCTCCCACTTCCGTTGCCCCCATCACCGCCAAGCCAACCACTCTGGCCTCTCAAGGGCCCAGAGCAAAGCTGGGAGCAGGCCCTTGGCAGGCCCCCTCTGCACTAGCTCCATCCCGTTGCTGAGCAGGAGACTCCCAACAGCCGCCCGTTTCACAACACATTAAGCAATGTTAACGAGACCTAAGTAGCTTCTTGATGTTTAATTTCCTCCCTTTCGTGTTTAAACTTGTTCTAAAACTCCAGGTCTCTTCCCAGTCAATTCAGGATGGAAAATCCTCCCCATCTAAGTACCCCTCTCTCGCCACCCCCTGCAACTCCTCCGAGGGCTCCCCTGGGGGCATCTCTGCTCACGGGGCCTGGAGGTAAATACTGACCGAGTTGCAACAGGCCCAAGTCCTAGAGGAGTGACTGCGTGCGCACCTACCATCGGATGGGGCGGGGCGGGAGGGGCAGGGGAGGTGCGGCACAGGACTGGGCAGGCGGCTGGGCATTCCTTGGAGGGGAAGGCAAGCACCGCGGTGAAGCTGGGCCCTGGCTCCCTGCGGCAAGCAGCCAGACAGCTTTGAAACCGCAGTGGGAAGGATCGAGGCTAAGACTGGGTTTCTGAAGGGCTTAGCGAGGGCACCAGTGCCAGAATGGGGAAAACTGCAAGAGACTCATGTCCAGAAATAGCCACGTCAGAGAAAGGTGGGCAGCATGTCTCGGGGTCGAGGAGTGGCAGAGGGACAGTGCTGGGGATACATCAGTGCTGTCCCCGCGAGCTGTGGGCTTCTCCACACCCGCCCTGGGCTCTGTGTCTCCAGGTTCCCGCGTCTCTCCTGACCGGCATCCTTCACCAGATCTGTGACCATGTTGGGGGAGCCTGCATTCCCCTTTCTTGGTCTGAGTGCTCGTATCACCCACCCACACGGTGGTCCTCTCTCCACTCCACCCTGGAGGGGGTCTCAGCTTCCAGCTGACGTGGCAGACAGCTGCTGAGCCACATGTCCGTGAGCTGGACGCTTGGTGCCCCGGAGGGAAGTGGAGGCCGGCGCCTGCCTGGCTCGGCTACCCTGGCCGGGCAGCCTTCCCGTTCCGTAAACCGCCCACCGCCCAGACCCGGTAATGGATGAGAAAGCACCTGCCGAAGGCCAGATGCCACGGGCGGGTACAGGAGGGAGGTGCGGGCGGTCCCCAGGCCCGCTCCCCAGCTGATTTCAGTTCCTCTCCCCCGTGGAGGTGTGTGTGTGTACGAGTGGACCGCGTGGCCGCCCTCCCTCTTCCCCTCCCCCAGCCGCAGGGGGGTAGTAACCAGAAACAGGAAGTGAAATGAAGCAAAACCAAGAACTGAAACCGACCTCATCTCTCACCCAGGGTCCCTGGAAGAGGTTGCCCCAGGGCTCTGACACTAAAGACCGAGGGCAGAGCGGGGTCTGAATCTGAAAATGAAGGACTCTGGGGAGAGGCCAGCAGGAACTGGGCCCGCAGGGGAGGGGAGGGGGCCACCGCTGACGCCACTTCTGAGCAGGGCATGCAAATGAGGCCGAGACCAGTTTTCTAATTCTGGACTCCCCAGCAGCCCCTGGAACCTAAGTGACCTTCATTTTGATCCCTGGATCTGTGGACATCAGCGCCAACAAGAAGGGCTCGAGGCACTTTCTTCTGGGAGTGGCCTGTGTTGGGGGAGGCGGCCTGTTCCTCCCTTGGGGGCGACAGGTCCAGCCCGTAGGGCAGGCAGGGCAGGCAGACATCGAGACAGCACTTCGTGGGGGTGCAGGTCTTTAATTTTCCCTGCTTTATCTTTTCTTTTCTTTTTTTTTTTTTTAAACAATCAAATGAGCAGAAAATGGCTGGGGCTGGTGGGCACTGGGGGTCCACTGGAAAACCCCCAAATTCACGCTGAGGCTTCAGTCATGGTTGCTGAGGTGGGGAATGAGGTCAAGGTTCACAGAGATTTCCCAACTCACCCTACAACATGTTTTCCAAACGGCTGGAGGAGAGGTCAGAGTAGGTCCCCCGTTACTGCAGATGAGGGGACGCCGTTCCCCCCCACCCCTCAAGCTCTTCTGATAAGCAGAAATAGAAGGCTGTGATTTCTAATTGCCTACAATCATCTCTTAAAAATACAAAACACGTGCAGCTGGCTTTGGTACAAAAAAGAAAACAACAACAAAAAATATTCTGGTCCCGTGGGCTTTCCCCTCACCCCCCAACAGAGCCATCGTGGCCCCCTCGACCTCTACTCCATTGCCTCCGACTCCGGGGAGCCAGGTTGTCTCCCTGGGGTCTCCAGGGAGGATGGAGAGAAGGGAGAACAGCAGTTAGCGGGGGAGGGGAGGGGGCACGGCCCGCCCACAGCCCTTCCGGAAGGGTCTGGTGGCGCAGCAGCCTCTCCCCAAAGACGGTGTTGCTGGGGAGGGGTGTCGGGGATAGAACCCAGCGGCCGCGGGGTTAAGCCTGATAAACCCCAGTAGTGTTACAGGACAAGGCCCCCGATCCCTATGGCTTGGTTCCCGTGTCCCTGGTCCTCTAAATCTCCCCACTCCCTGTGTAACTAATAAACAATAAATAAATAAATTTTCCTAAAGTAGAGGGAAGAAGGCATGAAAACGTGGCATCTGTGGTGTAGCTCCCGGATGCCAGCAGGGGGCACTGTGGCCCAAGCCCTCCAGCTTCCCAGCGGCCCCAGGTGTCCGAGGAGCCCAAGAGCTGGCAGGGGGTCAGCAGTTCTTTTGAATGTTCCCTCGCCATTGGCAGGTTGCAGTCCCCAAAGTCTGCCTCCCTCGCTGTGTTCTTCCTGGGGGCACCGGACGGGGGAGGGGCCCCCTTAGCTCTCTGAAGCCACAGGCTCCCCGTCGCGACTCTCGATCTCTTCCGGGATGTCCTGCATTCGGGTGAAGTCTGAAGGGGGACGGGCAGAGTTAGCGGGACAGCACAGGCTCCCCCCAGCAGCTGCACCCCTGCACCAAGAGGACCGCATCGCCGCCCAAGCTGCGAGGCGGCGGGGCAGGCCCGTCCGCAGAGTGAGGCCCGCGCCCACAGCTGCCTGCTCTGTATCCTTCCGACGACAGAAGGTACCCTGCGGCTAGGAACATACAAAACGTAAGTCACACTAGCTTTTGGTTATTTTGTATTTCTTGAATCTACTATAAGAACTCTGACAGTCTTAAAAATTTCTTTTCCTTAGAAATCTACGTTTAGGGGCCCCTGGGGGGCTCAGTCGGTGAAAAGTCTGCCTTCGGCTCAGGTCATGGTCCCAGGCTCCTGGGATCGAGCCCCGCATCGGGCCCCCTGCTCCGCGGGGAGCCTGCTTCGCCCTCTGCCTCTGCCTCTGCCTCTGCCGCTCCCCCTGCTTGTGCTCGCTCGCTCTCTCTCTGACAAATAAAATAAAATCTTAGGGCGCCTGGGTGGCTCAGTTGGTTAAGCGACTGCCTTCGGCTCAGGTCATGATCCTGGAGTCCCGGGATCGAGTCCCGCATCGGGCTCCCTGCTCGGCGGGGAGTCTGCTTCTCCCTCTGACCCTCCCCACTCTCATGTGCTCTCTCTCAAATAAGTAAATAAATCTTAAAAAAAAAAAAAATTCTCTATAAAATAAAATCTTAAAAAAAAACCCGACATCTACTTGCAAAGGTTGGCATCACAGACTTACTGGAGCGGCTCCCACATTCTTTGCTTCCCGGAGCGCTCGGCTGCCCGTTCAGCTTCGGAAAAGGCAGGACGTGTGTCCTGTGTGCCCCGCGCGAGACTTACAGCGTACGGTAGCCCTCGGCGGTGGCTGCGGCCCCCTAAGTGCCCCCTGCACCAGCACACACAGCCAAGCGCGGCAGCCCACGTGCACGGGCGCCTCACCTCGCGGACTGTGGGGCGGGGACAGGCGGCTGCCCCCTTCCTCCTCGCTGCCCGTGTCCGCGTCGCTGCTGTCCTGCAGCCGCTCCTCGGGGCTGCCCAGCTCCTGTCTCTCTCGGTCCTCAAAGGGTCGATGGACAGAGCGAATGGTCACAGACAAATCCAGGCGGTCGTGGCCTCGGCTGGGCTGTGACGGGCCGGCAGGAAAGGCAGCAGGCCAGGGAGTGAGCTCAGCCGGGCGCCCCGCCGCCGGCGTCCTGCGCCCCGCCGCCTCTGCCCGCTCTCCAGCCGCAGCC